CTATCATCCTAGACTTTGAGTTCCTTGAAGGCAGGGTTCTCGTGTGTCCTATGTTTATCATGGTCTGGTACATAGCAGATATTAACAGTATTTTCAATGAATATGTTCACTTACAATTTCTGTAGAGGAAGAAAACTAAACCAAATAAGTTAGACAAGGAGGGAAAGAAAGAACAGCCCTGACATTTAGAAACTAGATAAACACAGCTAAGCCACGTTTTTCTGTTGAATACAAACTCTCATTAAAAATAAACCCCAAACAAGGTTACTCTTAAGACCACAAGAAAATGAGACAAAGCAAAGCCACTTCATAATTTTGTCTACACACAAATAAAAATAAAGTCACTGTGTCAGTGACAAAACACGGAACACCCCTTTTCTCAGCCAAAATGAATGACTGCTTTTCCCTTACCAATCATAGCCTATCCTCATCTAGCCTTCTTTCCCTACAGATAAGATTTATAGACAAACCAAACCACAGAACTGCTCCTGTTTTCTGACAGCATCCAATCTAGAGTGAAATCCTGATTCTTCAGACTTCCCCTCCAAACACAAAACCAAAGCTCAAATCCTACCAGAAGTTCTAATACCCTTTTTCTGGAACACTCCCCACAGCTCACCCATACTGTGTTCTTCTTTGCTGCAGTGAACAAGAACTTAACTCAGAGTTGCTCCTTTAGTTGAAATGCATTGACCCCAAGTAAATGCTAAGGAGGGGGGAAGTATGTCCCTATTCAAAGCACAATATGAATCCCATGTGAATCCTAGCTTTGTGAGGGTTGTTTTAGAAATGGAATGCTTCCTGAAAGAGGAGGGTCCGAACATGTTAATACTGCAAATCTTAATGGAGGCTTGTCCAGGCATTCTCCTAAACATTTCCAGACAGTACTTTATCTCATTCTCACACAACCCTCTGAGTAGGTGCTATTACTATCATCCCAACTTTACAGAAGCACCAAGAGATTCAGTAACTTCCCCAAGGTCAGAAATCTGGTAAGTGGTGAAGCCAGGGATCAACCTGGACATCTCTGACTGCACAGCCATGCTTCAATAAATGGCATTTTCAAGGAAGAAGGGAGGAAACTGTGTGTCCTGGGGTTGGGAGGGTCGAAAGGGATGAGCAAAGGCAGACAAAATGAACCCCTCGACCTAACAAGCACCCGATTCTCTTATAAGTTGCACAGGTCTTCACACACTTCTCCTCTCCACACACAGATGCCTTAAAGCTAACCCCCTAGGACCAGGTGCAGGGGTTCAGGGCAAGACATTTTGATGGCTTTGACTGCAGTCCTAAGTTGTAATGACAAAAATGCTCCAACCTGCTGTTACCAATAGGTTGTTTCTCTCATCATCCCAAAGCCTGACATGGCACAGATGGGTGTGGCCAAGGGGATAAACCATCCTTCATCTAATTAACACCCAGGACTCTTCCCATCTCCACATTCAAATGTCACTTCATGAGGGAGTCTTCCCTAGTTCCCTAGGGTAGGCTAAATCCTTTTGCCTTAGGCTCTTGTGAACTTCCCTTTGATAAAGCTTGTCACTTTCTCACCAGTAGGTCCTCCCCACTAGACTTGGAAGTCCCATAAGAGTGGAGGCCATATTTGACTTGTTCACTGCCTGGAGCAGCATGTACAGGAACTCAGAGTGGTGAACTCCAAGGGGAGTAGAGGTGCTAATTAGTGGCAAAGTTTCAAGGAGAGTCAGGTCAATCCCCTTTCCTTTCTACTCCAAGCCATTATTTCTTTCTTAATACATTTTCCTGACCCAAACTCAAAAGTCACCCTCAGTCAGGTCAGATGTTACTTAGGAAAATCTAATTGTGCTCTATCAGGTCTTTTTAACAAGAGTGTGGTCTTCCATGAATTTTACCTTCCCTCCTCTGGTGAGCTGTCCAAGATCACACTGAGTCAAACAGCAAAGTCAGAAATAAAATTTAGAGGCCAGGCACAGTGGTGCATGACTGTAATTCCAGAGGCTCAGGAGGCTGAGGCAAGAGGACTGCAAGTTCAAAGCCAGCCTCAGCAACTTAGTGAGGCTCTGAGAAATTTAGTGAGACCCTGTTTCAAAAATTAAAAGGGCTGGAGATGTTGCTCAGTGATTAAGCACCCCTGGGTTCAATCTCTGGTACCCAAAAACAAATAAAATTCAGATTATTTGGTTCTAAAATTGGTGCTTGTGGAGGAAACATGCCTGAACACTGATTTTCTGAGAGTGTTCATCAAACACAGGTTTATAGCTCACGTGGTGGAACACGCCTGCAGTAGTCCCAGATACTCGGGAGGCTGGGGCAGGAGGATCACTTGAGCCCAGCAGTTTGAGGCCAGCCTGGCAACACAGTGAGACTTCATATCAGAAGAAAACAAAATTAAACAAAAAACTGCTGCATGTTTGTAATACCTGAAGCTTCCATGTTATCTGAGACACTTCACAGCATAACGAGCCTTTCAGGAAAAAAAAAAATGTATGTTTTAAACAGAACCAGTCTGGATTTATAATTGATATGGCAAAAATGATTTTAATTAGATTTTGTACTGTGGTTTGACAGTGAAGTCTGTTTAAGCCACAGAGTAAGAAGTAGCCTAGTGTCTAACCTCTTGGGAGAGGGTACAGCAAAGCTAAGAAGCTGCAGGAAACACTAATGTCTCTGGCATAAAACCCATGTTCCAATCTCATGAGAAGCCATTTAAAAATGAATAAGGCCAATGCTAAGTTCTTAGATACGTAGCCACACAGCGAAAGAGTTCAACTGAAAGCCAAGTTCTTAGCCTGCAGTACTGAAGAATGACAGCCAAGCAATTAAAGTTGAGAAAATGGATTATGTAACCTTACAGCAGGAAACTTAGATCAGCGATAGGAAGGAACTCACTGCCTGGGTGTTAGGAATAACTAGGCATCTTTTTACCTGTGATGGCTCAAGCACAGTTTAGTATAGGAAGGGGCAGGGGAAAGAGACAGATTACATGAGCTCTCAAAACCACTTTCATCTCAGTGTCTGAAGATATGAGACATAAACTACTTTGGAAAAGGTGAAGGTGAAAAGATGAATTTTCCCCAGATATTTAGGGCTCAACTCTTCTTGTATAGATGACTCATAGAAACTAGGCAGTCCCCAAGTAATTGTGTACTTCATACTTGCTTGAAATGTTCATTTCTTCTATCATGTTACACCAAGCAACATCATAAAATTGAGCTTTCAGTTGAACTTTTTTGCCATGTGGCAATGTATCTAAGAACTCAGCATTGGCCTTATTCATTTTTAAATGGCTTCTCATGAGATAGGAACATGGGTTTTAAGTCAAAGATACAGGGAAGTGAGGCAGGCTACTTCATCAAAAGTCTTTCTGCATATAATGCAAAGGGATAAAAGTAAGTTAAATGACTTTATTCAAGTTTCTAATAATATTTTTTTTTTTTTGGCCAGGTGTGGTGGTGTACACCTGTAGTCAGTCCCAGTCACTTGAAAGATGAGATGGGAAATCATTTAAGCCCAGGAGTTTGAGGTCAGCCTGGGCAACATAGTGAGACCCCATCTCTCGTTCTCCCTCTCTCTCTGGTTCCCCTCCCCACATAATGGGAATTGAATGCAAGGCCTCATATGCACTGGGCAAGCACTGTACTACTGATCTATGGGCTGGCCTCAAACTTATGATTATCCTGCCTCAGACTCCAGAGTAGCCAGGATTATAGGCATGAACCAGCACACTTGGATGTGCCAATACTTTTGCTTCTCCTTTCTTTGCTATTTTTTATATCTTTTATTTTTCTCTTTTACCATAAAAAGAAAATAAATTTCATCAAGAACTGACTTTTTGTTTTAAGCAAAAGAAAATATGTATACTTAAAAAGAAATGAACTGGGCTGGGGATGTGGCTCAAGCGGTAACGCACTCACCTGGCATGCATGGGGCACTGGGTTCGATCCTCCAGCACCACATAAAAATAAAATAAAGATGTTGTATCCACCAAAAAACTGAAAAATAAATATTAAAAAAAATTCTCTCTCTCTCTCTCTCTCTCTCTCTCTCTCTCCCCTCTCTCTCTTTAAAAACAAACAAACAAAAAAAAGAAATGAACTGGCCAAATTATATTGTCATATTATATTTATGTGTATGTGTATGTACTAATATGTAACAACAAACCCACCATTATGTACAACTACAATTACCAATAAAAAAAAATGTGTACAGGAAAAGAAAACAAAACAGAAAATCCTTCCCCAACAAGAGAGAAAAATGTGGGAGCTAAAATGGTTGGGGTCATTAGAGGATTGTTTCTTATGTTATTCCTGGCAACTTGGGAGGTGACCTCAACTACCTGAATATACTAGCAACAAATTTGTAAAGTTGTCATACTTTTCGCCATCAATCAAAGCTTGAGTGACTTTTCATCACAATGAGTCTTAGTAACTAGTTCAAATTTATGCACATTTGAGACATGATATTTAGCAAGTGGAAAACTAGACTGTGTCCACTGGCAAACCTCAATCATTCTGTCCTCATTTCTCTCAGCTCTAAAATGAGGATATCCTTTGAGATCTTCTTTTTTTTGCCAATCAAAGCTTACAGAATAAATGGAATGTTTTTACTTTTGTCACGGACATACTGGGAGTGATTGGAGGTTAGAAGGGCTGTAGGAAGTGTACTCCTTGGATGACTACAGGCACCCCACCCCCAGAACCGCTCCTCTGAGCCAGGAGAGCACCCACAAAGGAAAGGACAGCTACTGGTTCCCAGCCTTGATCTGTTTTGGAATTCTCAACAGCATAGATTGAGTAAATTATTTTCTCCACAGGTTATTGATTAACTGTGGCTCATGGTATTTCAAACTAAGAACAACGGACATTCCCCTTCAGCAATTTTGGTACGTAGGAGCCTACAGGCAAAAAACTCCTTGGGAGTCCATTAAGTTAGAGCTGAAAACTTGCGCTTAAATAATGCAAGGTGGAGATGAGAAACAGAGATTGAAGAAACAAATATATGACATACACAGACAACCAAAACCTACTACAGAAAGCTTTAATCACCAAATGTAAAAACAACATATCCATATATTTAAAATAGTTCCAAATCATCACTATCAACAGTCCAGAAATGAAATGATGTACTAATACAAAACCTTCCTGTTTTTAACTAAAAGATTCATGGAATTTTTTTTTATATAAACACATTTATTTGTACCCTGAGGCTGGTATCACCAAAGTGAAAAACAGGAAAGTCACTACTAGCTGGAATTTATCCAATGAAGAGTTTTAAAAACCTTTTGTCATTAACCTGGAATAGCTTCTCCTTACTCTCCTAACCCACACTATGTAATGACCAGAGGAAATGATGGCAAACAAATATGTCCAGCCTGATTTCTATACCAATCATATGACTTTCATCTTCACTTATTGACTAAAACAAAGAAATAAAATTTTAACTTCGATGAACTTTATCATATTTTAAAATACATATCAAAATCAGGGTTTTTTTTAATAAAAGGGGAGTTGGCAGCACATTCTCTGATGAGAATAGTACAGTACTTTCTTATAATGGTTGCTGCAGTGTACATTATACTTTACCTCACATAAACCAAGCAGGCTCAAAGTTCGCACAAGTATACTTGAAAATACTTAACTCTAGGCTCTTAGTCACCCCGAGATAAGATCTACACATGTCTAAAAGAAAAATAACTCCCCAATACTTCAGCAGTTATTCAAGTGCAGAGACAGGTATGCATGTTAAGTTGGGTGGGGAGAGGAGAGATGGCCATGTTGAAAATGTTTCAACATTTTTTATAAGTAAATAAATAAACAGAATAGAAAGATTTTGAAAATCTGAATTTCTAATATCTCTGACATTGTCTTTTTCTGGATTAGTCTAGAGACATGGTGGGCTACCTCTCCATGGCAGCTTAGTGGCTTTATCTCCAGTGACTTCCATGATGCTCTTTGCATGTTTTTAAAATGGGTTCTTTCTATATATTCACGGCACTTCATCTAAACCAGCAGCAAACGTGCATATTTGAGTCAGGAAATCTTTGTTGCTGCTTTGTTTCAAAGTATTATGTACACAATTTCCTGTGCACTACTTATTTTCTTACCACTGCACAATTACATATATTCTGGGCTCTAATGAAAATCTGCTGATATATTGCACTTAAAGAATTACCATCCCTAATCATATATTCTACTTTTATTATTTCTAGATGCCCCCCAATTAAAATGATTAGAGAGAAAAATACAGGAATGGATACTTACTAAAAGTTGAGTTCAGAAACACTTAGCCTCACTGGGTGAGGATAATGGAGAGAGAATTCAGTATTATGAAGTTAGAAAAAGGTTTTCCGGGAAAGGCTTGGCACAGCTGTTCTCCTTTTCAGGAAGAATCATGGAAAAATCAATGTTGGAAAGACTCTCAACAATCATGGGCAATTCCTCATCCTATACTTGAACTGCTAGACATCCTGCCAAGTTGTTGTCTAGCTTCTGCTAGAACACAGACAGGAAGGAAGCTGATCCAATACTACATATTCTTCCTTACAACAGAACAGCAAAATAGATGGAACAGGTAAACCAACTACCATTAAATAACAATCATTAATTGTATCTAACTGTTCAAGAGGGTTAGGAGGTTGTCAAGTGCTATTCAAAAGGATAAACTAGATTTTTTTCCAAGCATCCCACTTCTGCAATCATTCAAAATGGAGAGATACCAGTTAGAAATGTGAATTTTAGGAATCACTGTTGAAAAGCTATGTGTGTTGTAGTAGGGTCGATAAAAACATCTTAGAGGTGATCACTGGAGGGACTGTAACACAAAGGGGAAAGAAATGTTTTAAACAATAAGTAAAAGCTGCACTTTGAAGATGTGCTAAAAACCTTGTATAGCAAGTCTTGGTTCAAGAACTCAAGAGCCCTGGTGGATGGACTGTAGGTTGATTACGGTCTGCAGCAATTGTCAATTCATGTGCAGGAGACATAAGAAAATAACATAAGTAAGTCAGAGACTGCAGCGTGTATCCTAAGGTAACTAGAAGCAGAGCACTGTCTTGGTTTTCTCCTTCTGGCTTGTCTGATAACACTGCAGATAATATTTTGTTTCTTATTTCTATCAAAGTGCCCAGACTGTTTCAGGATTTTAATTATCCCCTTCAGAATTCCAAAAAACCAACGTGTCAATTGCTAAACAGTAATACCAAAATTCAATTTATAAAGGATCAGTTCCTCTACAGGGACATATATGTTTATATTTTTATTTTTTGAACATAGATGAATAAGTCCATCTGTACTAAAATCATTTATCCTGATCACACATATGTAAACTTTAAAGATTGCATGACCATGGTAACTGAGACTCAGCTAATTCAATCTGGAATGGTATCTCTCATTCTGTGTGTTAAAATGGCAATGGTATTAATTTTTAACAAGACTATGGGTAACAGACAAAAACAACACAACAAAAAACCAACCTTATAGTCAGTATGTCTTTTTACATGGAGGCCACTTTTTTTTTTTCATATCTGTTTCAAAAGTATCAGATATTTAACATTTAGTGGCTAGATGACAGGAGAGCAAATCTTCCTGCAAGAAAGAACAAAATTTCTTGACCACTGAGATTTGGAAGTGAAATCAATGAAAGTCTATCAAGTACTCAGGATAGATTTGGTTGGCATCAAAAACCACAAAGATCTTTGGATTCCAGGTATCATCCACACAGCTGTCATATAAATTCACATAGCTCCCGTCTTTGGAAGGAGGTCGCATGTATTTGGAGTCTCCGTTTATGTAATCTCCAATTAGCACTCGAGCAAGAAACATAGATTTATATGTTCTAAATAGATGCCGCTGTTGCAAGCTGACACCATGAATTTGGAATGTGTTTCCATGCTTTATGTCATCTTTGCAGAAGCGACTGGAGTAAGCAGCATCTCTAGCAAAATAGGTTCCTTGAAAAAAAAGGACCAAAAAGAGCCAAGATTACTCCTAAGAATATACTAAACATAAACAAAAACATTCTAATTGTCAGGAGAATAGACTCATGGAATTGTATAACAAAAATAGATGTGGAATTTCCTCATCTGCAGGTCCTTAAGGAAAGAATAGAAATCCATCTGTTGGGGACAGCTGCAGTGCAGACTGCCAGAGGCATAGATTTATTGGTATACACCAGACCTTGCCAATACCCTCCTCCACTCCCACTAAACTGCAGATACCAGATTTCTGTTTTCAAAAAATCTTGCAAAGAAGCCCAGTAAATAAAACTGTTCTGTGATTAAAAGTGTGGCAGGACCTGAATTTTTATCATGTGGACCTTCTTCCCACTTTTATTTCCTTCTACTAAGACTCCTCCCTCAGCTAAGCTCTGGAGATGACATAGAAAACTTCAAGTAACAGACATGAGTTCAAACCCCAAGAAACCATACTTCTAGATACATGGTTATAATCCAACAACAATTCTGGAAATAACAGAACTTTATGTCCAGAAAAAGATTTCTGAGAGTACAAAGCTATTGCTACGATTTCGATATTAAAAGTTCCCCAAAGGCAATGTGTTGAAGGCTTAGTTCCCAGCTTGATGCAAAGAGGTAGAACTTAGTGGGAGGTCTTAGGTCACTGAGGGAATACTCTCAAAGGGAACTGTGAAAGTATAAGCCAAAACACCTTTCCTCTTTTTAAGTTGTCTCAGGTATTTTGTTATAGTAACATAAAGCTGACTAACATAGCTGTTCCTGTCAGAATATTTTATAACAATTTGACCAGTTCAATTTCTAAACATGAAAACTCAACAGAAGCTGACTCTTTAGAAATGGTAGACAGTAAAAATTATCATTAAGGCAATACTTACTCTAAACATTTTTGGAATTACGAAGTGTCATATTTACTCAATATCAATGGATTTGTGTTAAGATTTTTCTGACCCTCTTACAGTTCAATAAATGAGATGGCCTTTTCTGTAGGTTTTTAAAATTAATTTACTTTTTCAAAATGTAGCATATCCTGATCCTACATCATAATTCTTTTGCTGAAGTAAGGTATAGAGTAAAGACTAGAAAAATAAATATCCATCCCTGACCTTTTCCCCTCATCTCTCCTTAATTTGCTTGAGTTGTGGGCATAAACTAGAGAATTTAGACTTTCATAACATTAGAAATAAGATAAAGTTTCCCCCAATTACTCCTTATTGCCCGTTAATATTCTCACCTATTACTTTGTAAAAAATAAAATAAAATAAAAATAAAATCACTAGTACCTATACTGGTGCATAATATAATTAACTTATTTTATCACTCACTCTATCTATCTATCTATCTATCTATCTATCTATCTATCTATCTATCTATCTATCTATCTATCTTTTCCATAAAGCAATTTAGTGTGTAGGCTTATACATATAAAAGACTATACCTGGATGTTACATATAATGCAAAAATTCTTCAACATGGACATGATGCCCCATATGAATAACTGGAACTTGGGGAGTTATTTAATTTGACAGAAGTGTAAGAGTCTTACTTCATCCTGTGCACGTAAGAATTGACTTATCTGCAGCTCAGAAACTCTGAGGATGTGCCTAAAACCCAGGACAGTAACTTTTAACTACTACTGAATTACATAACTGTCAATTATCTCTAAAGAAGAGAGAGAATCCTAGAACTAAATTTGGACCTGGAATTCTGATAATTACCTTTCCCAAAGAGAGCACCATGTATACCATTTATTCTCCAATCAAAATTATGAATGCAAATTGCTTCCACAAATTCATTGCTGGTACCATGAAATAGCATTTGTTCATTAATCTGAGGGACACCTCTTTTTTTCTTGAGCTGAGCCTTTTTCCTAAAAACACAATACACATAAGGACACAAAACACACACAGAAACAGACCATAATTAGCATTTAGTAATTTTTTAAAGAACAATGTTCAACAGAAAGGCTAAGACAAAAAAATACATCTTTAATATAAATCCTAAGTAGACAAAGCAGTTTTAGAAAAGACATAATTTCCAATGCCCTTGGACACTTAAATCATCTCCTCAAAAATTATTAATTAAATTGAGCCTAAAGGTTGAAAATTATACCAAAAGCGGCTGGAGATGTAGTGCAGTGTTAGAATGCTCACCTAGCACCTGCAGAACCCTGAGTTTGATCCCAGCATTCCCCTTCCCCAGCCCACTACAAAAAACCAAGAAAAAATTTAAAAAAAAATTTCCCCAAAGATATAGATATCTAGACTATGCCTCATCATAGTAAAGGTAATTGATGATTTAAACCAGCTAAGCTTTACAGATGCCTATAAATGAGATTATAAATAATTAAATACAAAGATCACAGGGTCATTAGACAGCGAATTCTTTGAGCTGGGGCCACATCTTTCTATCTCCAGAGATTAGAATATATTAGTTGAATTGATGTGAATTTGGGATATTATGGATGGAAGGAACATTATTAAGTCATCAAGTTTAACTTTCTTTCAAACAGACACATCTTTTTTTTTTTTTTTTTTTGGTACTGGGGATTGAACCCAGGGTGCTCTACCACTGAGCTACATGCCTAGCCTTTTTTGTATTTTATTTTAAGGCACAGTCTCACTAAATTGCTGGGTCTGGCCTCAAATTTGTGATCTTGCTGCCTCAGTCTCCCCCGCCCATCCCTGTCCTTGGGATTGTAGACATGAACCACCACACCCAGCTCTTCAAACAGACACATCTCTTTTAACACATAAGAAGACATTCAATGTAGAACGAATTGTAACTGAACAGACAAAAACTAAAAGCCCCGAATTCTTTCACAGAAAAATGAATATATAATTATATATTTACATATCAAAGTTAAGAGTAATAAACTAGACTGACGTGCATTAACAGTAGATTTGAAAAATAATCTTGGATGTAAAAAGAATGTTGCAAATATACACACATTTCTCAAAATAATACTGTATTTTGTAAATAGAGATTATGTATGCAGTAAAAAACTATGAAAATATAAACAAGAAGGCATTATAGAAAAGTAAAGAAGAAGACCAGAAGAGGATAGTGTAAATACTTCAGTTGTATATGTAATGTTTTATACTTTTAAAAAAACAATATGCAAAGATGAAGAAAGTGGGGCAAGTATTAAAGCGTTAAATCTGGTAGGCATACAGGTGTCTGAAAATTTATCTGCTGCATTTCACTTTTGAAATATTTCATTAAAAAGACATTTTAAAAATAAGCCCTCCCCTTTACACCTGTGATAGCTAACTATTTAATGCCTGTTTAAGTTCATTCCAGCATCAAGGACTTACTGCTTTGCAAGACAGAACATTCATTCTATTTATGATCAGCTGCAATTGTTAGAGAGCCAAAAAAAAGTCCCCCAAAGAGCAGCTCCCGAGGTCTGAAAGGGCAGGGAAACAACCCAATGAGCATCACCACAGAAGAGCCAATCAGCTGGCAGCTAGAAGTTTGCTGGGGCCGCTGTGAGCCAATCATCAGCTGGCAGCTGGAAGTTTGCTGGGGCCCCTTCGGCTGTGGCTCTCAACAAGTACTCTCACCCAACACTGAACCAAAATCTGCCTTTCCATTATTTCTACTGACTAGTTGTCATTGTTCTCTTCTGAACACAGAACAATTTGAATCACTCTTTTAAAACAACTCTATAAATACCCCCACATAAGTATGAACATCTCATTGGGCTTTCTTCTGTAGATTAAACATATACTGTTCCTTCAATTAGTCTTCACACAGCAATGCTTCCAGGTCTTTCTCTTTACCGGACCTTCTTTAGCTAACATAAATCTGCTAGATACCTTCTAGCTAATAACTGTTGGTAAGAAATAGAAATATAGTTCAGGTATCATCAGACAGCACTGACTTCACCAAAACCACTGAATTCAGTTTTGTAGCAGAGGCATAAAACTGCTTATCTAATGTGTGCAGTCAGTTAAAACTCCCAAGACTTTTCAAACCAGAAAACCTCTGAGCTTGATGAATTTGTACAACCTAATCTGTAGACTTCTTGCAGTTAAGCTTTAAACTTGATACAGTAATTTAAAAAGTAAAAATTAAACAACAAATTTATCCATCCCTCAAGTCAACAAATTTTATCAACATGAAGCTCAGTGAATATGTGGAGAAATGTATACATTCATTTAAATGACAGAAATTAAAATGTCTATGATCTTTCTCAAGTCATTCAACAATATGTATCAAAATTAAATGCATATGCTTTGATCTACTGCAACAATCTTTCCAGACCACTGAGCCTGACATTAGAGGGATATGCAGTAAGCAATTATTTATTTCACAAAAAACACAGGTTTTTATAAGAACAAATTATACAGACCAACTTTCTGTTTTAGAACTTTATGTCTCACTTTTTCTTTTCTTATAATGTACGTCTGTTCCTTTTTTAACAAAGAAAAATAGTTATAAAAAAGATAGTGTATGTTTTGACCTACTTACAACCTTCCAAGGTCTTTCTGACTACTGATTCACTCCCGAAACAAATAAACTACCCCTTCTAGTTTTGAATCTTTCACAAGAATGATAAGCAAGTCTTCTACATTTTCATCTAAGTTCCTGATAAAAATGTTGAAGAAAGCATGCATACCAATCAAGTTACTCTCTGCATGACTTCTACTAATTTTTCTCTTTGTACTATGACCTGGCATACCTTGTCTTCAACATAAGAAATTTTCTCCACTACTTCATAAAAATCAAGTTAGACTGTAAGGAACTTTCCAAATTACCACTATGGCAATCCTATTAGTTTGGCATTCATGAATTCATACCATTTTTTAAAGTAAAAATGTGTTTAAAACACATCCCTCTAAGGTCAAGTTCCATGAGCTATGATGACTAGAATTCACTCTAAAAAATCAGGATGTTCACTTGTCACTATATTTCAGGCACAGATTAAAATGAATCTTGGTTTGAAAATTTACTCCAGTGTATCTTAGATATTATAAATAAACTGTGGCCTAAACAGCCTGGAGTGTGGCCATCAGCAGGCAATGATAAACTGGTTACTGGATTGGATGGAGCAAACATCTCTGCTGGAGGCAGAGCTGGGCAGGTGGTTAAAGCTCCATATCCTCACAGCAAGTTTTATTTATTTAAGTGTCCATGATGAAGGCACGCAAGAAATGTGGACACTCACAGACTATATCTTTAGGGTTCCAGAAAGGATAGAGTTGAGTTTCAGGGCCTCTTGAACTTCGATTAAACCTACAAGGAAAGACACAGGACTACACTAAATTCTTCACAGCCCTGCCAAACTGTGTCCAAACCCACAATTACTTCTGAACTTACTAAAAGTACTGTGGCACCCTTTCTCAAAGACATCTCAATATTACCCTCCATCTTAGCAACCAGAGTGCCAGAAAAGCTAAATTGTGTATGTCATATGCTCTGCACTGAAGTTTACCTAGGTTTAGATCAGTGGTCTTCCCTTCTGGATGAACATCAGAAACACCTATAGACCTTTTAAGAGAGGAAATTTTCAAAACCCAAAGGTTCTGATCTGCTGAATCTAGGACAAGTGTCAGGCATCTCTATTTGCTAAAGAGCTCCATGGAGACTCTGATATGCAGTCAGTTTTGAGGATATCTGATCTATCAATATCTACATTCTTAAGGAGACAGAAGTTTTCACAGATCTTATTTCCTAGCTGTCTTATACTTCCCAACTCTGGATCAATCTCATCATCTCTCCTATCTACTCTTATATTTATACTGCTGATGTGAATCACAGAAAATTTCCCATGATTTCCACTAGAAATTCACATATTCCAATCTCAGCTAAACCCTCAACACTGATAGAAATCATATGGTTCCCAAGTTAGCTCTTTCTCTCCCATTTTCCACAGTGTCCATTTCAAATCTCTCCTATCCCTTTTCCTTTTCCCTCTTTATCCACACCTTCCTAACAACAATTCATTCTATGTAGGTGACTTCATTTCTTATTTCACATAGAAACTGAAGGCATGAGACTCTAACCTAGCTCTTCTCCTCATCCTCTATCTCTATTTACCTACCAATCTAACTGGACACTCTCTCTCCCTCCTTTCTAACATGTGTTCTCTGAATTCCATTCTGTCATGCCTCTTTGTGAGTCTTAATCTATCAATTATGCTTCCCCCTTTTTCTCATGTCTCTAAACTCTCCTTTATAGGTTTCTTCCAATCACAAAGCTCAGATCTCACTCATCATTAAATTAAAACAACACAACATAACAAAAACACTTTTCCTTAAACATTTTTTCTATCTCACATTTCTCATCCTTGTCACTGCCAAGCTTCTTAAGAGTTGTTTACATTTGCTTGTACACACAATATAGCATCTACCAATGCTTTGATCAAGGTTACCAACGATCTTTAGGTTACAAAGCCCAAAGGACATTTTTAATATTTATCTTTCTTGGCATTTCTTCAGTATGGGGCCTAGCAGATGATGTCTATTTGGATAAACTACTTTCTTCATTCAGCTTCTGCAACTCCACATTCTTTTGGTTTTCTTTTACCTTCCGTGGTTGATACTTCTTCCTTTCCTCTTTAGGTTTTCTCTTTCTCTGTTCATTCCTTCCAGAGTTTGGTTAATTTTTCTTAATCTATACACATTCCCTGGTCATCTTTACTCATCCCTATAGTTTATATTGCCCCATATTTTCTAAAAACTCCAAAGCTTTGTCTCTAAACTACTTGCCTAAGCTCTTGACTTGTATATCAAATGCTGTACATCAACCACCAGGGAACCTTCCATTGTCCCTATAAAGACCAAGGCCTGTTTCTACCCATATCCTTTAGTCAACTAAAACAAATAGTCCAGAAATGTGGGAGTTACCTTTTCTGTCTCATTTACCTACCCCATCACACACATTAATTCAAGCACCAAGTCCCACCATTTTACATACTCAATATCTCAAAACTGTCCCCTTTGCCTGTATACAACAGATATCACTTTGGTTTAGGCCACCCACTGTGTCTCAGTTTAATTACTGAAATAATTTTCTAACTTGATCTCCATGCTTCAAACTGTGATTCCTTTAAATAAGAGTTTCTCAGCCTTGATGTTATTATTATTTGGGGTTGGATAACTCTTTGTTGTGGCAGTCCTATATATTGTAGGATGTTTAGTATCCCTGGTCTCTATCTAATGGATGACATTAGCACTTTCCAACCCACCATGTGACAATCAAAAATTTCTCCAGTCATTATTAAATGTTTCCTGATAGGCAAAATCACTCCAGTTGAGAACCACTGCTTCAAAACATTCCCCACAGTATGGCTTGATGAATTATTTTTCTAAAATTCAGATCCATCACCCTCTTGCTTAAAGTCTTACAAGGATTTTCTACCATTCCAGAGAAAGAAAATCTTTTAGTTTAGCTTATAAAGCCCTTATAAAGTCTGGCACCTGCAAACTCTCAGGATCAATTGATTTCAGCTAAGGTTACTGAAAAAAATTATACAACCACCCAGTGATTCTGATATAAACTCCCGCAAGCTCTCCCTATTGACTACTTTTTTAGCCTCCTGTCTCACCATTCATGGTAATTTTCTATTCAATCTGAAATTCTCTCAACTTTCTATATTCTTTCTTATATCCAGACTTTGGCCCATGCTGTTCCCAAAGCCTAGGATGTCCTTTCTCTATTCTACCTGTGTCTAGCTTAATTGACACCTGCCTTAGGAGGTGTTATCTAATATACCCCATTCCATAATCCACACCCTACTTTTGTCAGCAAGGGTGGATAGAAACCCTCACTTTGTGCTCCCATGATGACCTGTGCTCATCCCTATATTTCTGGGTAGCCGAGGCCTGCCTTTTCATCTAATCTATAGTTCCATACATCATTATATCTCAAGTACCAAGAATAGTGCTTGTCACAAATCAGGTGCTAAAAACATATTTGTCGAAAGAAGGGAGGGAAGTAAGAAAGGCCCAAGTGACATATAAACTGATCCCTGATGGACTCTTGTGGGCCTGACTGTCTATATGGTGAGTCATAGGTTATGTGATAATGAGATTGACTAAGTTATTTTAGTTTTACAGGGAGATGTCAGAATGACAGGCTGCCCCTGCAATGAGATCTAAGTATTTTTGCAATACTACAGCAGGTGACAAGTTCACTTACATCACAGATTTCTATAGGCTGACAATACAAAAAAATCATGGCATCTCCACATAAGACTGTTTGCAGTGAAATTCTTAGTATCAAATGTTTTAGGGATTCAGTGGGATGGTTTGTTTGGTTTTTTGTTTTGTTTTTTAAAGAGAGAGAGAGAGAGAGAAGAGAGAGAGAGAGAGAATTTTTAATATTTATTTTTTAGCTTTTGGCGGACACAACATCTTTTGTTTGTATGTGGTGCTGAGGATCGAACCTGGGCCGCACGCATGCCAGGCGAGCACGCTACCGCTTGCGCCATATCCCCAATGGGATGGTTTTTTACAGTAGGTTTTATTTGGAACTCAAATTATGGAGATCAATATGAGCTCTACTTCAGAGATCTGATTAAAAATTAAAAATCAAGTTTTCAACAACCCATTTCAGAAAAACAGTCACTGAGGTAATAAAATCAAAGGGGGCAAAGGCTTTTTTCTATCTTCCTCCAAACAAGAACCAAAAAAATGTTCCAAAGTCAGACACAGTTATTGTCAGAAATAAAAGATGGTTTGGTACAAAGAGTCAAAACTATAAAAACACAAGCTGAACACAGCTTATTTTACTATAAACAACTATGAGAATTATATCTGGAATGTACTTGGGCCACATTTAACTAATCAGTTAGAACCAAGAAAGAATTCCATGTACCATTACCAAACAAAAGTCGTTTAAATGTCCAGTATATGGAAATGAAATGAGTTACAGTCTGGGATTTACTTTGAAATACTTCACCAACAACAATAACAAAAAGGAGATAGACTATGTGAGGTAAATCTTGATAAATATTGAAGCAGGATGATGAGCACATGGGTTTCCTTATATTAGACTCTCTACTTTTTTGTTTGAAATTTTTCTGAAAAAAAATTCAAAGTCAGAGTAAAAATATTAGAAGCCAATCTCATCTACAAATGTTAACTAAAATATTTCAGAGAGCCACTTACTTTAAGTAACATTTGTTATAAAAATATAGCACAACAGGTTAATCTGAACAATACCTCCAAGTTTTCTGTAATGAGATTTATTTTTAGGTTTTGTGCACAATGAGCAATCTAAGAGGTCATTTTTAACTTAAATCTAAAATTAAATTGAAATTTTAAACCTACATAAACTCTAAGCTAAGTAAGAACTTTGAAGGTATGTTTTAGATTGTTGTTTAAATCAAAACAAGCAAATGACTAGTTTTGTGTAAGACAGTGTAGTGTAAGTAGCTGGGCACGGTGGCAAAGGCCTGTAATCCTAGTGGCTCAGAAGGCTGGGGCAGAAGGATCACGAGCCAGCCTCAGCAAAAGCAAGGTGCAAGCAAATCAGTGAGACCCTGTCTCTAAATAAAATATAAAATAGGGCTGGGGATGTGGCTCAGAGGTCAAGTGCCCCTGAGTTCAATCCCTGGTGCCCCCATCCCCCCAAAAATATAGTGTAAGTGTAATTATTAAAAAAAAAAAAGTCAACAATGTTTCTAATTTGACATAAAAAGCTGAGCCAAACAAAATCACATCAACAAAGTTGAGCAGCTCCTGAGACTTATAATGTCCATTTCAGTCAAGATGCACATCTTTAAGCCCCCAGGGAAAGCTTTTCACGTTATAATGCCAGGGATTCACTTGAAGAGTAGCTCTCTTTTACTCCTCCAGGAAAGCTAAAGAAGTGCACTGAGAGGCCAGGTAGAAATGTGCCAAAATAAAATCAGCATGTCGACATCAGTAAAAATTAATACAATTAAACACTGATGTTTAACTATCTCTAAGACTATATAAGTTTTACAGATAGGAAGGTTCAGATCAGAGATCATCTTACCTGCAAAAGAATTCCCATAGATCTAAATTTTGAATTCTCTGAATTCTTTTAATTCGGTTACGATCCATTGTTTTCCCAAAGAGACTGGCAACTTCATTATATTCATGTGTTTGATTGTGCAGAGAAATAAGCTGGGAAGAAAAGAGTACATGGTTTTGTTACACTCCTTTCTAATTTCTTCAAGGGATAGATAGTCAGACCTGCTCTTACCTGATATGGTACTTCAGTATTCACATTCTCCCAGTGTGGTGGCACAGGGATAGCCTCATTTTCACAGATATAACTTAAAATAGCAAAAAATAAAACAAAATATTAGAAGCTGATTATAATTACTGCCAGTAATTTAGTATTTTCTCCGAAGCTAAATTTTCATGTTCATGGTATGATGTCAAATGCAATAAGTGCAACCCTTTGTTTCTTTATTTAAAAATATTTATTGAATGCTTACTGTGTGCTGTTTTTCAGGTATTGAATAGTAAACTTTGATGAAAAATATCCAATCTTACACACCAATAAATTTCAAAAATAATTATATAGTTCTGTCTTATTTTCTTTTAAGTTTCTAAAATTTCTTTAAAATGTAAGGAAGATTAGAGAAAAGGTATTTCTAAGGAAAAAAATTAAACTCCTGATGGAAAAAAAAAAAGCCCAAGCTCTTATTTATATTGCCTACTGAATAAAAGTGAAACTCTTATCAGCCATTTATGTACTCCAAGATCTGAGTCAAATCTAAAATTCTCTTTCGTGATCCACATTAATTCGCTTACTGCAGTCAGAAATCTTTTTAAAACTAAAGTGTCCAAACCACTGGATGTGAGCAAAGAAAGATAGTGATGATGGGGTGTTTAATAGTAAAAGCTAACACTCCAATCCTCTCTGGTGATTGAAAATAGAAAAAATTTTAATGGAAAAAATTAGTTTCAAACCTATCCTTAGTTTATTTTTTCAAACTCATTTTAATTTTAGGAAAAAACAACATCATTAAAAATGACTGTACATAAAGAAGAATGCAGTGGGAAGTGTCCCTCCAACTCCAGTCCTTGTTATATCCAATTCTTTCTTCTTGCTTACTCCAAGTAATTACTGTTTTTAATTGTTTGTTCTTTTGGAATCTCTTTAGGTAAATATAAGCCAAATTATTCTTTCACACAAATGGCAGCATAAATAGCCTACATTTCTGCATCTTTTTATCCACTTAATCTGAGATCTTTCCATATTAACACATAGAAAGTATTCTCATTCCCAGTGCCTACAACAGAGTTTGGCATATGATAGACACTCAATAAATACTGGTTGAATAAATAAAAGCACTCTAAATATTTTTCAGATGCCCAGCATTCCACTGTATAAGTGAGTGTGTGTGTGTGTGTGTGTGTGTGTGTGTGTGTGGTTTATTTATCCAGATTCCTATTGATGATACTCAGCTTGTCTTTCACTTTTGCTACTGTATTAAGAACTCCACAAAGAACAAATTTGTCTATTTATCACTTTACATGTCCATTGGTCTATCTGAAGAATAACACTTTGAAATTAAATTTTTGGTCAAAGTATATATTTATTCATGATTTTGACAGATACTGTGCAAATGCCACCTTATTAACATTCTCACAAGAAATATAGAGAAAGCCTATTTTCCAAAAACCTCTCCAAAAAGGTGTGATATTAAGCTTTCAAATTTCTGTCAATCTGATAGTTTTTTTTTTTTAAGCCTGATACTGATTTGTATTTCTCTTCTGCAGCTGTGTGAATGTTCAAATTCTTCATCCATGTTGGTCTTAGAGAATTCTAAAATAACTCTGAATTAGTTCTTTCACTATAACAAGCAAAAAATTTGTCCTAAATGTCTAAGTATCTTTTAGCTATTGTAAAAACAGACAAAATTTTATAGTCCAAAGCCTGAATTAATTCCTTGTCAATAGGAGGTATAAATTATTTGCTTTGCCTGAAATAAATGTTTAATAGTCTTCAATGAACATTTCTACGTCAGCACCTGACCTTCATCACTCTATTTTTCCTCTTTAATTAACTCTCCCCTTTTATTATTATCTTGCATGCTGTCCTCCATTCTGTTTAATTCTCTCCCTCTCCTGCTGTTGTTATATTATTTGTACAGTGTGGATAGAACAGTATTTGACCCCACCTTATGCTTCTTACCCCCATCAAAGGCATACCAGATAAAACACATCCAATAATATTTTCCATTATAATGTCTCATTTTTCTCCCAGATTACATGTTCTTTGAAGATAAGCAATTCCTTTTTGTATTCCTAGTACTAAAGAATGTGACCATGATGTAGCTGGAAGAAAAATATTCTCTATATTCCATAGATGTATTAGCACATTTATCATAAATATCTGAATAACTTTTAAATCATAATGCAAATTATAAGTCACAAATATTGAGAAACGAACTGATACAAACTTAAAATATTTATTCCTTTGCCCTAATTCTTTCAATTTCTTTCTTTTGCTCAAATCCTTTCAAAAATTCTCCTTGGAGGAAGCAAACAGGTATTTTGTACAATTCACATGCTACCATTTTAGTTTTGTTTTGTTTCATTTTAAATTCTTTGAAAAAAAAGAATTTCAGTATTTGCTTAAGGAATCATTTTTTTAAAAAAGGAGACATGCTCTAAGGTTTTTCCCTTCAACCACATTCATATGAATAACAAATATTTAATCTGGCATGTACACCTCTTTTTTCAGACTATGTACAGCCAGAGAGAGCAAAAAGAAAATCTTCAGTGTAGATCCAGGGAGCTGTCCTGTTGCCCCGTTGTGCAAACATTTTCCTTAGGTCTCTTTTAATTGCTAAAGACTTGAAATTACTTCTAAGGGTTGCCTAGTAGAAATCAGTAGAGATACAAAGTGGGCAATTACCCAGGACTTATGACTCAAATAATTGGATGGTTCTGTTGAGAATATCTTTAGTTAAAATTCAAATTTACCAGTGTATTATTTTAAGGGTTTATTACAAAGGCCATAAGACATTTTGTAACTACTGTGCACACTATTCTCAAGAATTGAAAACAATAAATAAACAACAAAAGGGGGAAAGAATAGAAGAAATGATGACAGAAGATGATTGGCTATTTTATCAACAAATGAGAGACTTAATATTTAAAAGGTCAATTTAATATATAAAAAGTCATTTATTGACTCACTAAAACATTAGTCTATGCGTTTCTCTATCAAATGGCAAAATACCGTTTCTGCCCCATTCTCTTTACAATACCTGAAAGCACTGATAGAAAAAGGAGCCCTTTTTATTAAGCGCTGCTTTCCAGTGGTGAGATTCATTTGCTTCATTTCTGTACACAAAGACAAAGATATTAGATAAGCCATAGAAACATACTGTGCTATAAAATGTCAAGAAGATTAGTAGTCACACTACATGATGACCAGGAATCATGGAGATATGGGAGCAGCTGACAGGCAGAGTATATTAAGATACTTTACCATGCATCTATACATCTTGTCATAAAGGTGCTCTTCAGGGGAGCACAGCTTCATTGCTTGACCTAAGCTCATACATAAAGATGCTAATTTTATACACTGCTCAGTATGCAGGGTCTATTCCTTTCTGTACTGCGCTTAGGTTATACCGACAATAAAATACAAGAGTTCTAAGTTTAGGAAAGTTAAGAGTACTAGAAAAAGAAAGAAATTATCATATTAAACCTTCTGTTTGGCTTATTAAATGGAAAAATATACTTTGATTTATTTCTCCAAGAATTTTGGAAATGAGAAAAGAGATACATTACCATTATAAAACTTGCACAACTCACAGAATTTCAAAAATTTGTATATTTCTTGCCTTCTCTTTAAATTGTATACCTAAACCAAAAAAAATAGAAAACCTGGCGAGACCCAACACATACTTATATAACCAATTCTAGTGATAAAATATTAATTAATAACTAAATGTATCATTTTCTTCTTTCATCTATATTTCAGCCTTGGCAATATTTACCAGATCCATGTCTTCATTCCCACATAAGTCTTAATTCAAGATTCTAGCCAGGTTATCTTGTCTACTTGACAGCATTTCATTCCTAAACAAAGAGTTCACCCACCCAGGCAAGTGCTAATGTAAAGTTTGTCCTGGCTTTCTGTATTCTCCTAGACTCGGCACATACTGTCATCATTACAGTTCAAGGGAAAAAGCAAGATCTTCTCAGCACATAATGCAAAACCTGTAGTGCCATCTTCTTAAACCATCTCATTTTGAGTTTACTTTTCTCAGTTTATAGAGAGAAGCTGAGTTGACTAGTAGCAGAATGGTTGGGGCTAATAACTTTGAAATAGTGTATGTTAAGTACTAATAACTATCTTTGAAGTAATATCACTATATAGAGGGTTGGGGAACTTGAGTTATTAGTATATGTAATTTGTTTGATAAAGATATTTACTTTTTGTGATACTGGAGATTGATCCCAGGGGTGTAACACTGAGCTATAACCCCAGCCCTTTTTATTTTTGCGACAGGGTCTCACTAAATTGCCCGGGTTGGCCTTAAATTTGAAATCTTCCTGCCTCAGTCTCCAAAGTTGCTGGGATTATAGATACGTACCATCACACCTGGCAAGATATTTTTTGATAAACTTAATTTTCTGACAGAAAGCTTTCAAAATATGTACTTTACTAGCAAATATTCTTTTAGGATCAATGTGGCTTGCTAAATTATCTACTGAATGCTTTAATAAACCTCATTCTCTTCATGAAGCCTGAAGCCTGTATATATCATTCTATTTTACTACTGCTTCAAAAAAAATGTCTAGAAATGTCTACCACACACTGTTTGCCTATACTGTAGCAGAAAGTCAAATGTCAGGATCCTCTAAAAAGCAGTTTATTTGCCTAATGTCACTAAAAAGAAGTTATGATTATTCAGGACTGGGAATCTAAGTTTTAACTCATGATAATGAAAAAAAAGCAAGAAAAACAATTTTGGTGAGGAAAGTAATTATTAGATATTTGTTTGCATCAACCTCTATCTGGACAAAACTCCTTCACCATTTCTAGGCATTGGCTCGTCCAAAGGAATTTCAAACGTTTTAGCACCCTGTCTAACTACAGCATACTACTAACACAGTCAGAAAGATACTACTCCCAGAAATTGGGAAAGAAAAGATAGAAGACTAAGCTGTACAGCAATCAAAATGTACTTTTGTTAAGAAAGCCTCCCCATCTAGGTCTTATTTGCCTCTAAGCAGTAAAGAGTGGATACTAGGGCTGGGGTTGTGGCTCAGCGGTAGAGTGCTCGCCTAGTACGTGCGAGGCCCTAGGATCGATCCTCAGCACCACATAAAAATATTGAGTTCAACTACAACTAAAAAATAAATATTAAAAAAAAAAAGAGTGGATACCAACAACTTAAAATTTAAGGGACTTTCAAAAAATTATGGGTTCTTTTTAGTTATACATGACAGTAGAATCCTTTTTAACATAATTATAAAAGCACAGAATATATCTTATTCTAATTCAGTATCCAGTACCTCATATTCTCCTTTCCTCCCCACTCCCTGCTCCCTTCCTGCTATTGATCTTTCTGACTCTAAAAGGTTTTTCATGGTTTACCTAAAAACATGACCACAAATCATAGATGAAATAAAAAGTGTGGCAGATTTCCAGATTAGCTGGTTAATCTATGAAAGGGCTAATGAAATCAGAAATGGCAGAAGGCAATTTCCATTAAAGAACTAGTTTTCTGGCCAAGACACCAAGAGAAGGGTCATTCAGCTAAACTTTGGTCTTGAAACTATCATTAGCTAATTATGACTTTCTCACTTAACATATGTTTGACCTTTAAAATTAAACAGTTCCTAACTGTTTCAAACTTATTTCTAGATGGATTGGATGATGAATAAAACAAGAGCTATAAGTGGTGGCATTTACCTGTAATCCTAACTATTCAGGAGGCTGAGGCAGGAGAATCACTTAAGCCCAGGGTTTGAGGCCAGCCTGGGCAACAACAAGACCTCCATCTCAAAAACAAACCAACAAACAAACAAAAATCCCAAGATCTATAAAATACTTTGTGTATTTTAGAAAACAAGTATGACTGAACTCAAAATATATGAAAATTTTCACAAACATTTATATATATATATATATATATATATATATATATATATATATGCATATAAACATGCCTTTATTAAAGGCAATGTTGCTCAAGAAGATTCAAGTCTTGAATATTTATGGGGCAATTTTCATGTGCCACAAAAAAATATTTACTTCGCTATTTCACTGTTTGTAAATGTAAAAACTAATCTTGATCTTCAGAGCTATAGATTACTCTATCAATATACTAAAAACATAACCATTAGGAAAAAAAAAAAACATACCTGCGAAGTCTATCTTGTAGCTGAATTTGGAAGTAGTAAAAGAAATGGAGCCACAAGGGTTTGTTCTGAAGCTCTTTTCGATATCTTCACTACTAACTGAACATTGAATATTGGTATCTGGCTTTAAGATAAATCAGAAAGTTTCATTTATCAGTTGTTCATATTAGGGGTTGGCCAGAGAAGTGATACTATGGTCATAGCAAAAGAAAATGGAAGAATGAGGGAAACTTACTAACCATCTGTTCTATCTCCCAACACACAGGGAAGATCTCAACTAAATCCTCATACTGAAAATGGTTTAAAGATGTCCAGCAAAGAAACAACAGGTTATGGTCCCCTTCAACACCTGGGTAAATGTTCCTTTTTACAAATTATTACACTCTTCACAAAGTATCCTAATAATTACACTAACTGTACTTTCTAAGTGGTTCAAAATTTTAATCTTTAACTTTAAACAGCTTGGTGAGGAAACACACATACACACACAGGCTGGAGAACAGGTTCAAATCTCAGTTTAACTCCTCTGTGACTCTAGACACACTGTGTTAACTTTTCTGAGTTTCACTTTTTTTGACTAGAAGACAAGAGTTTTAATATCTGCTTTAGAGTTGTTATGAGCATAAGAGAAAAAAATATGTGTACAGCACCTAACATAATACTGGCATACAAAAGGTATTTAATGTAAACTTGCTCTGCCCTCTCTCTCTCTCTGTCTACCAAGTCAAACTTGGAGCTGGCTCAGATGTCGGATATCATGCAACTCTAGTAACACTGACACTCTGAACATACTGTAAACATACTGTTTCTTCTAAATAAATTATTGTGAAAACCTGGGGGAAGAAAAGGAAAAGAACTGGAAGAATTTCTAAGTTTTCTATTATTTAAGCTATTTGATTTCCTTAGGGTTTGATTTCTTTCAAGTTTTGCATTCATGCTCATTTATACATCTGGAAGATGATGCTATAAGTGAATCAAACCCCTGCTGCTGAAATTCAAAGATGGGAGATACCTGAAACATATGCCACTTCCCACATTCTGCCAGGTAAAACCAGCCCCACTGGGTATCTGATGTGTCCATGTCATCCATTTCACTATCCGTCGTTTTGGATAAGAATTCTTCTGCTTTGTGAAACATCTCCTGAAAAGCCAGGAAGAAGTAAAGAAAGAAATAATTCTATTAATAAACAATGTCCTTTTGTATGGATCATTTTACTTAAAAGAATGGTATTTCAATGTCTTTCCCAGAGTGGTACTTTAAAACAGCATTCTATCTTACATATTGGCTCTGAAGAAAAGCATTTTAAAATGTTGTATATTATTGCTTAACAAATCAGGCAAATAATCCTCATGTGAGATGAGATATAGCAGGGTCCACTGAACCCTTTAAATAAGCCACATCAACATTTATGAGCACCTCAGGTTTTCAGTATAGCCCCAAAGTATTTTTTTTTTGATTCAGCATTCATCATTTTATTGGCATAGGAGGTGCTTAACAGTTTTTCATCTTAAGGAATGCAATCAAAACTCTTTTAAAGTTACCTCAAACAGACCTGTAAACACTAAATTTGATAGTAAAGATTTCAGAAAAATCATTTTTTCACTAGTAATTCTAATCAGTTAGACTACAGTTTTTATTTAATTGGAAAAAACTGATGTTATTGGACTTTTCTAAATCATACTATTATATAGTATAGAGCCTTTTCCCTTTGAGGGTATTTTTATTTCTACTTGTCCAGTTATAAATGACAAAGAAATGTTATTTCTGTCATATATTTTCATTACATTTTATGACATTGCTAAATATGGTAACAGCATTTTTTAATATTTATTTTTAGTTGTACTTGGACATAATACCTTTATTTTATTTATTTATTTAATGTCGTGCTGAGGATCCAACCCAGGCCTCACACATGGAGGCGATTGCTGTACCGCTGAGCCACAACCCCAGCTCCCACCCACCCCCAACCCCCAACGGCTTTTTATAGGTTGGAAAATCTTAGAGGAGAAGTTGCAAATTTTCATCCAAAGGTCCAAAGCCCCAAAGTGCCTGATTTGTTAAACATATTTTTTATATGTTCATGTGTCTGGTCAAAAGGATCCAGACCATCACAACTACTTAAGACCAAATCCATCTGATTTTTGTTTTAAACACTCATGATTTCATCTAATGGCATGGAAAGGTGTTTCTAAGATATGGTGTTGGATACAAAAGAAGGTTATAAAACTCAGAAATATTACGATCTAATTTTAATTTAAAAAAGTCTTTATTTAACCATATGAAGTCATGCATATATATGTATGTGTATGTGCACACATACATAAATATAACTTGTCCTAGTTTCTTCTAAGTGTTAAGATGATGATGATGTGATAACAGTTAACTCTTACATTTTTTGTTCTTACTATTTACCAAGAACTGTGAAGATAATACCTCATTTAGACCTAATAACAATCAAAGCAGAGAATTCATACCATAGGAAAATTAAGATTCAAACTGAGGCAGTCTGGCTCCAGGGTCAGACCACCATGGTTTGACCATTACCATGGTTAACCACCATGTAATACTGCCTTATACGTCATTATAAATTATTTTATAATGTTAACCATACCAATTAACTCATGTATACATTATTATAAAAGTTTTATTAAATATTCTTGGGTGGATATTGTGATGAAGAAGAAATTACTAGAAAGGGGACAAAGAGGCTGGTCAAAAAAGCTTAAATTATCTGGAATTCGGCTTTCTATCCTCATTTTATGAGAATTTATAAATTATTTAAATTTGCAAACTAAAACAGGAATGCATTCCCTTTTTAAAAATCAAAAAATTCAAAATAAAGACTTATTTGAACACCAACTCTATTCCTGGTACATTACTTTTCTTCTTCAGGCTTACCAAATGATATCAATTTACTATGTATTTTTCAGATCGGTGTGAGGGCTTTTTGTATGATCACAGATACATATGCAAACATATATAGTTATTACTGATTTGTTAAAAATTTGTTTTCCCACATCTTTTTTTTTATTTTTTTTCACAATTTGTATTAAATTTTATTAAATATGCTTTTTAGGAAAAGACTGTTATCTTTTTTAGGGCCTGAGAAAGAAATGAAAATTTATTCACTTTAAAGTGATTTCTTTTTTTTTTTTTTTTTTTTTTTTTTTTAATTTTTTATTGTGGGTTGTTCAAAACATTACAAATTTCTTGACATATCATATTCCACACTTTGATTCTAGTGGGTTATGAACTCCCACCTTCACCCCATACACAGATTGCAGATTCACATCAGTTACACATCCATTGATTTACAAATTGCCATACTAGTGTCTGTTGTGCTCCGCTGCCTTTCCCATCATCCACCCTCCCCCCTCCCCACCTCTCCCCTCCCCTCCCCTCCTCTCTCTCTACCCCCTCCACTGTATAACCCTGAGGGTCTCCTTCCATGTTTTCCCACATCTTGAATTTTTTCTATAAATATATACTACAGGATAAACTAAAAAATGTTCATCCTGTTTCTAGGAGCTGTGCAATCCAGGGTAAGTTTCCATTATTTGTCTAGGCCACAGTTTCCTCTTTACAAAGTATAAAATTCAAGGCTCCTTCCTCATTAGGTGTTGTTAGAACAATAATGATAATGTAGTAAAGTACCAATACAGTACCTGAGCTCAGTGAAGGGGGCTCGTTAGTTTTGATTTTTTATTCATGTTTGGAAACTCTCTCCAAGGAATGCTTTATGATTATTTCCTGGTTTTTATCCCTTCATGTTTTAAAGTTGATTGGCTGCTAGGAAACGAAAAACAGAAGACCCTAGGATCAAGAGTTTCAGGTTTAGAACTCGCTATTTACCTTAAATATTTTAACCAAGAAATAAAGACAATGATTTAAAGTTTAAGCTCAACTATACCGTTAACTACTTTTATGATTTTTTTTTTCCAGTGATAGGGTTAGAACCCAGGAATTCTAGCATTCTAGGCAAGTGCTCCACTACTGAGCTACTCTCCCAGTTTACAATTCCTGGTTCTTCCTTCTATTCCATTCCTTCTATGGCCATTTCATCATGAGAGAAGGAGAAAAGTGAGAGTGACCTAAATTTAGTTTTTCTTCTGAAAGTAATCAGAAAATTTGGAAAGATGAGCTTTAAGCTAATAGTTAACATAAATATTTGGCTTAAGAGTTCCATCTTTTCTCTATTAGAAAAGGGAATGAAAAATAGGAAATTATCCTTTATATGGCATACGATGTAATATCAGTGTTCTGGTACATACATTATACTTATGATCTCACTTTAGCCCAGGTTACAACTGGAAGTGGTTTAATAAGTTATGTGCAATAGTGCATGCCTATAGTTCCAAATATTCAAGAAGCAGGAGGATCACTTAAGACCATGAGTTTGAGGCCAGCCTGGGCAACATAGTAAAACTTCTTCTCACACAAACAAAATAAGTAAATAAATGTATAAAAAAGAATGAGTTTGAACAAAGGCCTTTCTGAACCTCCTGTTAGCCAGGCCAGGTAGCTTATATTTATCTCTACTGTAGAACAATGTACCTATAAACAGGTACCATAATATCAAACATTTGTAAAGCACTTTTCATAAAATTCTTTGTCAATTTATACTATTTCTTTCCTCCACAACCCAATCTTCAAGAGAAGTTATTATTTTCCAATTAAAGTCAAGAAAGAAAGTAAAGCGGAGAGTAATATAATTATTTTGTCTATAATCACAAATAGCAGTACCAAGAAGATTAAAGAAACACCCAAGGCTTTCTAAACACTGCTTCTTTCCTAAGTTAACAAGCCTTTTTCAAAGACTGATACATACTTTTTCTCTCTTCTGCCAAACTTATTTTAATTGCTTAGCTTCACGGACTGGTTTTTCCAAAAAAAAAAAAATTCATTTCATAATATAAAACCTTATAATTTTTTACAATAAGTTTTCTCTCCAAATGAATGGCTATTTTGTAAAAATAGATTCAAAGAGAAATTCAGGTTTATTTAATAAATGTTAAATAATGTAACCATAATGTAATAATGGCTCTAGTTAGAAAATATTTATAGGTAACAAAAAGAACATGTGCAAGTTATCAGTCATAGAATAGGCATTGAATAAATGTTAAATGAATGAGTTACTTCAGTTACAATATCATATTCTGCCTGATTTCCCTGCTTTTAACTGGAAGGTATTGACACTTTCTGTACAGCAGCTGTGAAGAAAAGGAAAAAAAAAAAAGCTAATATAAATTGGCAAAGCATTTTCAGATACAAGGGGTATGCTGGTAGAATCTGTCTATAATGCTATCTATTCTAAGAAGAAACTTTATAAAACCTGGAAACAACCAGTCAGAATCATCGAATTGAAAAACTATGTGGAAAATTAGCTTAAAGTCAAAATGCTGGTTTGTATAAGAAAAATAATGCTGCTTTCCTGACGGACTAAAAGTTTCTGAAAAGCTTTTGACAACTAAGTTTAACTTATTCTGAGAGCATACACAGACTACCTTGAGGAAATCGTAATTGGTACTAAAAAAAGACCTTGTCTCTATATAAATAAAGATCCAAAATCTGATACTAAAAGATGAAAAATGGGGTGGAATTCCCAGAATAACAAAGTAAGGAGTGCTATGGACCCCCTCTCCAGCAAATCTATTTTTAACTGGTGAAAATTATTTTGAAAAACAAACATTTGGACGCTCTGGAATTGTCCTAAGGACATGTAACAAATGGAGAAACATCCATTCAAAAAAACTGGCTCAATCTCAGAACAGGTGAACACCTATGACATCTGAGTTATGTATGATCTGCACCACTACTTCATTCCACCAGCTCTATTACCTCTGGCATATGTAATTCCTCTCCCTCCACCTCCCCAACTGTGGAAGTATATTTTCTAAAATACTCAATTTTCCAAAAAAAATTAGGAGACATACAAAAAGAAAAAAAAATGAAAATATGACCAATAAGCTGAGATAAAAGTAGCTAGAAGCTGCCCAGATGGTGGACTTAGCAAAAACTTTAAAGAAGTTATCACAAATATGTTCAAAGGATTAAGTAAAAGCATGCTTTTAAAAGCATTCCCTTCAAGGATTAAGGGAAATAAATGATATCAATGTTTGAGCATATAGAGAATATCAATAAAGAGAAATAAATTATTAAATACTACCAAAAAGAAATTCTGGAGACCAAAGGCTGAATATTTTCTCTGATATGCAGGGATGCTAATTCACAATAAGGGGGGCGGGGTACGAAGAACAGAGATACTTTGGATTAGACAGAGGGGAGTGAAAGAAGGGGAGGGAAAAATGGGGAGAGGGATGATAGTAGAATAAATTGGACATTATTACCCTATGTGCATATATGATTACACAACTGTTATGACTCTATATCATATACAACCAGAGGAATGAGAAGCTTATACTCCATTTATGTATGCTGTGTCAAAATGTATTCTACTGTCATGCATAAGTAATCAGAACAAAAACTAGCTAAATAAAAAATTTTTAAAAAATTATGGAGTTGAGAAATACAATAGCCAATATAAAAATGTCACCAAAGAGGCTCAATACTAGATGGGAGCTCTCAAAAGGAGGCGGCACATTTAAAAGAGATCAATAGGTACTATGTCACATATATACAGTTATGCATTTCTTAATGACACAGGTACATTCTGAGAAAGTCATTAAGTGATTTTGTAGCTGTGCAAACATCCATAGAGTATACTTACATACATCTAGATAGTATAGGTCAGTCACTTGATGTGGCCTCTTGATGCAATTAAGAAAGACACTAAACATGAGATGTTTGAGGTTGCTGCTGGTGTAATGGGGAATACTGCTTTATAGTTAACTCTTTTTATAAGTAGGAGTACACTCTAAAATAATGATAAAACTATTGATAGTAAATAAATAAAACAGAAATATAGTCACTTATCAATTATTATGTACTCTACATAATTTTATTGCTATACTTTTATATTACTGCCCAAGTGAAGCAGGTTTGTTTATACCAGCATTACAACAAACACATGAGTGATGTTTTTATGCTATCATGTTATAATGGTTATAAGTAGGTGGCAGGAACTTTAAGATCCATTATAATCTTATGGGTTCACTGTCATCTTTGTGGTCCACTGTTGACTAAAAATCATTATACCACACAAGACTGTAATATATACAGAAGTAACAGCATTAAAAAGGGAGAGAAGGAATGGAAGTATTATGAGTACAATTCCTATATTTTACTTAAAGTCAGTGTAAGTCTAAAGAATATTCCAATAAGTTAAGATGAAGATTTTAAGTCCTAGAGTAACCACTAAGAAAATGCTTCCAAATATTACTTTCAAATTAATAAAAAGAAATCAAAATGTTACACCAGAATATATCTACTGAATATAAAAAAGGAAATAAAGGAGAAATGGAGGAACAAATGACAAAAAATTATGAAAAACCAAAAGCAAAATGGTACAAGTAAATAATAATATAATGTGGAAATAAACAATAGAATTAAATGTGAGTGAATTAAACAATCTAATTCAAAGACAGAGTTCAGGTACATTTTTTTAAAAGATTCAACTAAAAGTCATCTCCAAGAATACACTTTAGATCCAAAGATACAAATAGGTAGAAAATGTGGAAAGTTTATACACCACGTAAACACCAATCATAAAAGAACTACAGTGTCAGTACTGAAGTCAGACAAAATAGATTCTAAAAGAGTTACTAGAAATAAACAGTGATATCACAAAAATGTCAATCCACCATAAATATATAACAATTATAAACAGATATATACCTAACAACAGAAAAATAAAACAAGTAAAACTAAAAACTGACAGAATTAAAGGAAGAAATAAACAATCTGTAAATCACAGTTGTATTATAAAGCCAACAGGAACCCCCAGGAAAAATGACCTGGATCTTTTCCCCTACAGGCTTCATGACTTTGCATTAAATAATGTCATTTCAGCTGGACAGTGTCGCAAGAGCCTATAGTTCTAGCTCTCGGGTGGCTGAGGAAGGGGGCATCATTTGAATATAGGAGTTCAAGACCCAAGAAGAGCCTGTGCAATCTAGCAAGACGCGGTCTTGAAAAAAAAAAACAAAAAGTTACTTCTGATACACCAAGAACTTGAGGAAAAGAATTCATTTAGATACTATGTGTTAAAACTAATGACAAGCTCTTGCCTTGGCTTCCTACTCTTGAGAGGCTTCTTAAAAAGTCTGAGATTCTAATCTAAGATTTATTAAAAGTTCCAGTAAAGCAAATTTCAGAAGCGCCTCACAGTCAATCATTTCTTGCTGTACTTTATGAAAATAAATCTCCCATAATGAGACTAAACTTATTTTACAAACTGATCTTTCTGTGGTTATCTCTGGTAAAATTGGATTAAGGGTCTGGAGAAAGGAAAATTATGTTTCATTTTATTTGTTACTATTTTCTAGTCCTGCATTTTTAATCATGATTTTCCTGCAATTTGGGTTGTATAGTGATTTCTTTCCTAGCTATAAAACTAATATGTAAAATTTTTCTTCAAATTTTCTGACTTGGATTCATTGAAATTAAAACTGCTTCTCCTAAAGCCCTACAAGTTGAGGCTGATAATAAATCTAGACTCCAGAGAAATCATACAAACTGCATCCAGGAAAATCTCCCCTACTTCCATCAACTTGTACCACTGCAATTGAAGATGCTTCAAACTGAAATTCAAAAAATCTTTTTAGCTGACTGCCTTTCAGACTCAACCAGTTTACAGACAGCTCTAATTATTATTTTGTTTTTCTTCTGTTTCCATAAATATACCTCTTATTAAAACCATGTTTGCTTAATTTTGAGGGACTCCTACCTTTCCCTCCAAAACAGGTTGAAGACTCCAATACCCAGTTTTCATTGGATAGAAAAAAGAGGTAAAAGATTATCAAGATTAGGAGACTTGGGGAAAAAAGCCCCTATAAACCAATTAGATGTACAGACATATATGGAATACTACACATGTAATAGGGGTTCCCTTGATGCTTTGACTAAATCTCTCATGGCTTTGAAATTTACATGTTTTTTCTTCTTGTTCCCAACCTTCTTCTCCCATATCTTCTCTCTGATCTTCTTTGTCCTAATCTTCTCCTTCCTAATCTCATTTCCTCTGAATCACCTCTATAAATGCTGATGGGCAGGATCACAGCCTTTGGGACAGGAGTCCCCTGTGTTTCTCTTTGCTAGCAAAGCAATAAACCTTCGTTTTCCTTTTCTCAAAACCATGTCCTCATCATTTATGTAGTTGCATGATTATTGGTGGAGGATTCATGGTGCTGGTGAACTTGTGAGGGCCAACTGCAGGAGTGTTAGGAGACAGGTGAGTCAGCCTCCAGTCAAACCAGAGAGCTGTAGTAAAGGGAAGGACTAAGGGACCTCCCTAGCAGCTGCCAAAGCTCCTTTTGCTTCAGGAAACTCCCACCTTCTCTCCTTGAACAGTACAGATTGCTCCATCATGATCCACTTTGAGAAAAAGGAAACTAAACTAGGTAAAGTCATGACAACTTTAGCCATTCAGTAAGCTCCCCTGGTGTGCATACTGAGACACTTGATTCTACACATCTGGTTCCCCTTTGTGGGAACAACTGGTCTCTCTTCATGGGGACATCTATGGTTCCACTGAGGTAGAATTCACAGTTAAGTGAGAGTTGGGAACTTGCGATTTTCCCCTATCTGGTCTGTTTTAAAGGATCCCATCTTTTGGCCATGGTTTGGGAATTTCCTCTGGTTGCCTGTTTTGTTTGAATCTGCTACTGCCCCTTTTAAGACATGGCCAGTACCTCACTGA